TATTAAGAAATTTTCTACTCACTCAACATACTATCCACAGATAGATCACCCCTCTTCCTTTCTCCCACCCTCCAGCACTCTTTCCCAAGCCACCCCGCATCCCCGCATCCCCCAAATCGAGGTTTCCCATGGGGAGTCAGCAGAGCTCAGCACACGGAGCCTACGCAGGTCCAAGCCCCCTCTCACCTTCCCACTGCACCAAGGCTGTTCAAGGTGTCACACCAAAGGCACCAGATTCCAGAAGCCTGCCTATAGACCAGGGACAGATCCCAATCCTCCTGCCTGGTGCCTCCCAAACAGTTCAAGCCAAAAACCCATCTTCCATATCCAGAGGGCCTCGTCCAGTCCCATGGGGGATCCACGGCCACGAGTCCACAGTTCATGGGCTTCTGCTAGTGTGGCTGGTCATCTCAGCACATCCTCCCATCATGATCTCAATGTCCCTCACCTGCAGTATCTCTTCTCTCTCATCAATTGGATTCCCAGAGCTCAGCCTGGGAATGGATTCCTGACCATGGATTTCTGTATCTGCCTCCATCAGTCACTGGACAAAGGCTCTATGATGACAGCTAGATTATTTGCTAGGCTGGTCACCAGAGTAAACCGGTCCAGGCACCCTCTGAACCACTGCCAGCAGACCAAGGTGAGGTCAATCTCGTGGATTCCTGAGAGGCTCCCCAGCACCCTGCCTCTTCATATACCTGTGATGTCCTCATCTATCATGGTATCTTCCTCCCTGGCCTCCCATTCTGTCCCTGTTCCAGCTTGACCCTCCCATTTCCCTATGTTCTCATCCCCCATTCCTTGCCTTCTGCCACCCCCCAACACCCAGTCCACTCATGTGGATCTCATCCACTTCTCTTCATAGGGTCATCTAAGTATCACTCCTAGGGTCTTTTCCTGTTAGCTAACCTCTTTGGAGTTGTATGTTGCAGTCTGTCCATGCCTTCCCTCACATTTAGTATTCACTTATGAGTGAGTACATACTATGTTTGTCCTTCTGAGTCTGGTTACCTCACTCAAGATGACATTTTCTAGATCCATCCATTTGCCTGCAAATTTCATGTCATTTTTTTAAAACTGAGTA